TGTTTGCTCTGCCATGCAGACCTTCCTGTGATGGAAAGCTCTCAGTGAGGTAAAGCCCTGAAGGAGAGGTGGACTTGATTACAGGAGATGCTGTCCCAGCCCAGACAGGGAGTCTGTGACCCTGACAGCTGGAGACAGAGTGCCTGGGGACAGGACCAAGGCAAGCCTGGGAGACAGTGAGTGGGCTCCTGATTCCCCTGGCAGTGCTGAGACCACTGAGCTGTGCTGCTGCAAACCTGTGCCAGGCACGGTGTTCTGAGCTCAGCTGCGTTCAGGTTGTTTTCTGCTTCACCGGGCACTCACAGGTTCCTCCTGGAGAGCTGACTTGCTGCTCTCCCATCCTGCCCCTCCTTTCCCCTCTCACCCCATCTCACAGTAATAACTATCAGTTTTTAACAGCATGTCCTACACTGGAGGTTTTGTAGTTCCAGCTTTTAAAATGATTTAGTGTGACAGTTTAGTGCTGAATTAAAAAAAAAAAAAAAAAAAAAAAGGGAAAAGAAAAAGGAAGAGAAGAAGCAGAGAGAAAAAGGAGAGACAGTCCCCTTAAGGCAACAACATTATGGAGCAGTGATCTCAGAGGAACAAGGGTTCTTCTCTGGTTCAGATGTGCTTGTCAGAGCTCAGTGTCGTCTCTGAACAAGAAATCTCTCTTGCTGGCCCAAGGCACAGTTTTGTGGTCAAGAGGACAGAAAATAAAGGGAGGGAACTTCAAAGAAGCAAAAGCTGCATTAGCCCGCTGGGGCGGGTGGCTGCGGCACATCCCATGGCTGACAATTACGACCTGCATGCCGAGAAAGCTTGCCTCCCTCTTGTCAGAGGGATAAGACGCAGGCTGTGAGCTTTAGAGCTTTGAGGATGTGTACAGTTCATGATGAAAGATAGCACTTCAAAGCCCTTTGCCTAGAAACCCAGGGAGAAGTGAGAGCAGAGGGTAAGCAATCCTTTTTTCCTGGGGGGTGCATGTGCGGGGGAAGGATAAGACTTACTTTCACTGTCATTTATTATTGCCATGAAAATGAAGCCCTGCACTGTTTATGGAATCTCTCATTAAAAGGATCTCTTGATAAATCGCTTGACAAACATTCATTAATTAAGTCTCTGAGCGCACTTGGCTGACAAGCATTAGTCTTCATTTTGCAGGAGGGGGGGATCAGGGCACGGGGCTCAGTGAGCCCCCAACAGCCAGGGCAGGGCTGGGGCCCGGCCAGACACCCTGTGCCACCAGGCAGATGGATTACACTGCTCCCTCCGTGCCCAGCTTGATTCTCACCCAAAGACAGGAGCAACATACTTGTCTTCAATAAACTTCAAAGCCCTTGTCTTCCCACTGCTGCCCAGACCCCGGGGCTACAGGGCAGATGGTGGCTGGCCAGGTCTGGCTCCTCCACAGGTGACTCCTGCCCTGGGGGCTCCTGGACACCCCTTTCATCTCACAGGCACCTCCCCATCCACAGCCAGCCCAGGGTTAGGAATGAAGACATCTTGGCTGCTGCCCAATCTCCACTTAACTCTGCCATGGAGATTTTCCTCCTCGGGGTCCTTGACCTACCAAGCCATTTGGGAAACAGCTACATTAAGAGGCCCATTTCACCCTCAGCCTGCCAGTGGTCTTGGATTCAAGTGCTGGGGACTGAGCAGGTCACCTGGACTGCAGCAGCAAGGTTGTTGTGGTAGAAAAGGCACCACCTCTCCAGCTTTCCCTGGCATACAGCAGGTCTGGAGCAAACAGTGGTGGGAGAAAGCTCACCCACCTCCAGCCAGACCCATCAGAGAAGCCACTGACAGAGGGAGCCAGCAGTGAGGACCCAGCACTCAAGTCTTTAAAATACAAACTATCCTATACCACACACTTCAAAATATGATCACAGCAGGCAGGAGGAGGTCCTTGCAGTGACTCAGGGGTGACCATCCCTCTCACCTCCTCAGCCCCACAGCACATCTGCCCTCCTATCCATCACTGTCATCCCCCTGCCTCATTCTCCCACCTGGAGACACAAGAGGGACAGATTTGGCTTTCGCCTACGCCTCCCCTGCCCTTCCTGGCACTTGCCCTTCAGAAAAAGCAAGCACTGGCTGGGAGATTCCTGTGAGAGAGGAGCTGCATGAGAGAGCAAACAGACCTTTATTATTTGCTTATTGATTTATTCTCCAGGAGGATGTAACACCCGGCCCTCGGCAGCAAATGCCCTTGTAACTCCGCGCCGCAGCGACAAGTTGGCCAAACAAATGCTTTACTGAGTCAGGAAACAAAGACTGTCAGCAGAGCAGATCAGGGCTTCCCTCCTCTTACTTTTAATTATTATTTCCTTACACAGAGGATTTAATCTCCTCTTCTCCTGGAAGCTCAAAGTGCCCCATTCAGCCCATTTCACAGCTGTGACTGCTGAGGTCGCCCCGGGTCAGGACACCTCTCCCTGCAGCATAATAGTGACTGGTCCCCAAGTGGACGTCCACGCCGTGCATCTGTTGTTGCAGATGAACTGGTGTCAGGAGGAGGAGCACGGCCACCGCCGTGGCCCCAGCAGGGAGAGGGCAAAGGCAAACCCTACCCAGAGAGCCCCAGACAAAAGAGGCTGCTCCTCCGGCCCTTTGTGCTGCTCTCAAACACGGTCAAAGGTGACATTTTACAGCTGTTCCAGCCTCAAATAAGTGAAACCCGTCCATCTTAATACTTAATTGCATTGCTAAGCTGCTGATAAACTGGGATGGCATAAAACAAATACGCAGGGTCGAACGCATCCCCAGGGGAAGTTTGTGGGAACAGGGGGAGTTGCACCGGACAATGAACTGGGAACAGGGGCAGTTGCACCAGACAATGAATCCACTTCATGTGTTTTAAAAGCCTGGTTACCTCCAATAAAGGCTGTGGCACGGACGCTGCACATTTGCCAGCTAATAGGTCTCCAAAAAGGCCGCGAGTGTTTACAAAAGAAGGGCACGACGCAAATGCCCACGGGAGAGGACGAGCACGTGCCACGCCACGCATGTGCCCATCAGGAAACCGTGCTGGGCTAATCCCCTCCTCCCCACGCAGCCACCACGGCTCCAGCGCCCCGGAGAACACACGGCCTTAAATCAACGCTCTTATCTCACAAAAGGAATTTAAGTGCAGCGCTTTGAAAGTCACTTTCTCGCGGCCATATGGCAGCGCCCAGCCCGGTCCTGTTCATTTGCATGTGCGAGAGACAAATCTGGCTCTTGCCTTGCGGGAGCGATAACAGGGCGAGGGGTAAAATTTAGCACTGTTTGGGTTTCTGCATAAAATCTTGCTGAGGCAAATTTCTCTCGCCTCCCGAGGCAAGTGCCAAAAGCTGAGGCAGCCCCCAGGAGAGCCTGCCCACGATGGCAGCCCGTCCCGATCCTGAGGTACACCGGGTAGAGGATCAGGGTAAAAGACGAGCCTGAGACAAAAGCCATTATCTGAACCCAAAGCTGGCAATGTCTACACCCACATTACACCAAACAGGAACAGCACTGAACACAAACTTCAAGACAGCACATTCACAAGCATTCGCACATTTAACTTCCTGATAGGGAGGTATTTTGAAAACTCATGTTGCTGAGCTGCTCCACGATATGAAGGGGTGGGGGATCTTGGGCTTCAGCACAAGGAGGAGCCAACAAAGCTGCTAACGCTTCAACATAAGCCTCTCCAGCAGATCTCTGTGCCAGGCATTATGCAGGATGGCAAGATTTTTGTTTTGCCGAGGCAGCGCCGTATGGGCAATCTGGTTTGCCTTATCAGCGAGCCAAGTGAGAGGAGAGAAATGCTCTTCCCCACCATTTGTTTAAACTTCCCTCTTTCCCCCAGATAAAGCTGCATACTTTCATAAAAATATCTGCAAATGTAATAACATAATAGGCTTGTCATCGGTTTCCACATTTGGCATTGAGAATCTGCAAAGCTTGGAAAGAAAGAGAATTCCTAATGGTTACTGCTGCTGAAGAGCCCAGCTATAAACTGGGCCTGGATCCAGGTGATGGAGCACACAACCACCAAAATGCCTTTCCATGTCCAGCACCTACTCCTACACAACTGCAAATCGTTCCTTTCTTGGCCCCACCGAAATAAGGCAAGAAGGTTTATTTCATCACTTCTTATTGATGGGCCTCATCTCCCCTCTTTGGGGTATTTGCATGCCCCTAACATTCATCACTGCTCTGAACCCATTTCACTGTGCAGCTCAACGCTGAGCACTCTGCAAACAGCCACACGCCCTGACAATCCATTCTGAGCCACGCTGATGTGGAACCATTCCCAGCCCGAGGCTTTCCATCATGTACCAACAGTTTGCCCTCTCCAAGGCTGTTTCTTCGGTGTTTCTGCCCAATATCCATCTCAGTGAGATTATCCCAGGAACATACGAAACTAGAGCAGCCCTGCTGTGCCGAGCCCTCAGAGGAGGGCTTGGCGTATTTAGAGATATGTCACCGTGCCTCCCGGGGGGAACGCGGAACGGCGCAGTCTCTTAGCAACACCCAGTGCCTATCACAGGTAACTCTCATTAACAGGAATAGTGGGAGCTCTGAGCCCAGACCCTGCAATGTGCTGATCACCTTCCCCCGCTGGGGGAACCCAGACGGGAACGTTTCGGGCGGGAGGGGGATGGGCGAGCCCTTGCAGAGCGATGCAGGCAGCACTGAAATACTGATGTGACTGAAAGAAACGAGGATTTGGTTGTGTCAGAGAGAAAAGCATATCCCCTGTGCTTTAAGCCAGTAAGGACTGACTTCTCCTTTGTCAACAAACCCTCTCTCCAAGACATTTATGACGAATCTTACTGGAAGGGAAGAAGTCCCGCCCCACACCGAGACAATGCGGCTCTAAATTTCAACTTAATCATCACAAGCCTGCAAAGCTGATCTTCATGACAACGTGTGTGGCCAAACTAAAGGCTCTGGCAAAAACTGCTGTCTTGCTATTCGCACGACACGGATTTCACAACCCGAATCTCTTGCTTTGTAAGATAAGGAAAGCGTTTCTCCAGATCACTTACCTTTATTTGCTGCAGGAGAGAACAGCTTCTCAGAGCCTACAGAAGCCTGAAAAAGGAAGAGAAAAAGAGGGTGAATAATACTGAAGGAGAAATTCGGAAGGCTTGCTCACAAAAAAAAAAAAACCAAAAAAACACAGCTCATAAAACAAGTCGATTATCTGTAGACCTGCAGTTGCACATTGCACCTGGAGGGTGCAATGTTGTGCCATTAAAGAACAAGCATGCATCCTGAGGAGATGAGAGCAAAGCGTATACACGAGTACTGTCCTGATGTCACCCAGCTATATCCTCCTGTCTCGTTTATTTAGGCAACCATGCAATGCACAGCTAATTTTATCCATGATTCCTCATATAAAAACAAAACCAGTGAAACTGCTATCAAGCCGAAGGGAAAAAAAAAAACAAAACCAAAACAAAACAAAAAAAAAAATCCAAAACACATTTCAAAGGCTCTCTCGTTGAAAATAAGCTCGTTTCTTGCTGAACATGCAAAATGTAATTTGTGTATTGGAAACACAAGTTGCAACTGAACACATCCGTATGAAGGAGGGTGTTATTTAATATTATGCCAAATGATTGGTACATGCTGCTATGCACTTAGTTGGGTAGGAAATAAAACGTCTTCCTGTCGGAAGAAGCCCCGTATCCTTGCAGACTGGGTTGCACTATGCTCTGAACTCCACAGCAGTGGATTTGTGCTCCTCACAGCTCTGGGAAATAGTTAAAGAAATCCAATTAACCTAAACCCTGTAAACAGCTTCATGATAATCAGGGTCACTGGGTTACAGACAAGATGATAACGACAGAGAGGGGAAAAAAAAGTCCGTTCATCGTAAATAAAGCTTTTCTGAGTTAATTTGATGGCTTCCTTTCCCCCCCAACGGATATCAGACAGTCAACCTATTGCAGCATAAGCTTTTCCTCCTCGCTATCAGATAAAATAGCAAGTAGCCTCTCCAGAGTCAAAGCTGGTGTGGGAGCAGGAGCACGATCAGCACTACTACATTCCTACCACCTACAAGATAGCTGAAGGTATTGCCAACGTGTTGGCACTGACTGCTGCATGAACAAAATGGGGTGAAGTACAAAGCTGAGAGCAAAAGGTACTGGAAGTGAAAAACGCCTTTTTCCCCTGACTCTGCTTTAAAAACAGTGAATTAATTCAACACGTGGCTGAACTAAGTTGATTTTATTTTTGATTTTATTGATTTTATTCTAAGGTGCCTTGGGAGATTTGCATGATAAAGAGCACTATGAATTGTATTACATTGCTATATATTTTAAATGACGACTCAGAAGGAAAAAAAACAAATAGTAAAAATGCAAGAAGATCTGCATGAGATATAGTAAGAAGCAAGAGTGATCTTTTAATGTTATTTCCAAGAAAAGTGGCACTGCAAGCACTGAATGTCTTACTTAATGCAAATGTATAAAAAAGAGAGGGAAAACAACATGAAAAATAGGTTGAGGCTGAGACACATAAGAAAGAAATTCTGAATTATGTCCACGACAAAGCTGCACGTGTAGCTGTGGCATGTATGATCATTACACAGCTCAGCAAAAGGATCCTAAAATCTTAGGGAAAATCAGTTACCTGCACGATCCCTTCACTGCATGGATTAAAAAGAGGAAGAACCAGGATTAAACAAGGTTTTGCCTGGGCTGGTTTGCAAAGAAAGTCTAACAGTGTCACACAGCAGCATCAACAGTGGAGCATAAAACGTTCGACAGCCAGCTCTGAATTTACAACCCATTGTTAGGAGATTTTTACACTTACAATCAGCACCCAGGCAGCACGGACGCAGAGCACATCTGCAGGCCCTGGGAACTCACCCATGCTAACACAGCTCACACCAAGCCAGGGCCTGCTCTCACAGCACTCCCTAAGCACTGGGACACGTGGCAGGTGGATAAATAAGATTCCCCCATCTTACAGGCAGCGAAACCTCGGTACTGAGGGCTAAGTACAGACTGGCACTGCTGAACTGTGAGCTAAAGATCTCCGTGCTACAGGTCCAGACTATAAAAAGCAACGTTCAAGGAAGTCAGGCCAGAAAACTCACTTTAAAGAGAAAGTAAAGCACCCGGATTATTGCTCAGCCTTCTGCTATCAGCACGTGCCACCGCCTTCCACAACCAGAGTCAACATTTACAGAGCAGCATTTTCAACATCACAGCTTCGGTTCACAGACACAAACCTTCACACCTAGAGTTTACAGCAACTTTTGCTCTCACTTCTGGTGATTTCCAGCTCCAGATCTGAGCAGTTTTTTGGCATGAGCACCATTCTGAGACAGTGAATGCCTGTGCTATAGGAGATTCTGCAAGCTGCTGTAAAGGCAGGAGGGAAGCTGGGGGAGGAAGAGCCTGAATACATCATTCAACCCTATCAGTCACCCTTTAAAGGAAGCATACAATAAAACCTATGTGTCTGAGGGAGCCCACTAATGAGTGAAAAAATCCAGCAAACCAACACATCTGCTAAAACAAGTCCACTCCCAAATTTTCTGCTGTTCCAAGCAAGCAATTTGCATACATTTAAGAGGGGATTTAAAAAAAAAAAAAAAAGAACCACCAAAAAAAGTGGAATTTTTCCTTTGTGAACAAAACCAGGCATTTGGAGTCTTTTATGTATAAGTTCAAGCCATCCCAGGAAATCCCACATTCCTTGATTGCAAAATGAAGCTGGAAATTTCCTTTTTTCCCCTCCTCTCATTGCTTCCTGCCTGTCTCCATCTGAAGGACCACCTCGAGGACAGCCCAAATTACTTTTTGTTGCTGCAGAAGGCAAAGAGACATCCCCAGCCTGAAGCTCACAGACAGAAGACACCTCTAACCCTTCCTTGTTCACTTGCTGCTCGTGTCCCTCCCCCTGGAGCGCGGCCACAGAGCCCACCAAGGCCTGTGTTCACAAAAGCTGCTGCTTGCACAGTCCCACCCTCGCCCCCAGTAACAACCCATTCCATTTTCAGCACTAAAAGCTCAGCAAAGGCAGCTTTTCCCTCAAAATGGGAGGTGGTAAGCACAAAGGACGCAGCACACCCTCTGCTCTGAAGGTGAGCAGTGAGGCATAATCAAGTCCATGCCTCATCCCTCCCGGTTCCCACTAACCCAAGGCAGCTGAAAGGTGGAAGAGCTCTCCCAGATTAATAATTTAACTGTTATATATAACAGAACAGCATCATCTGACAGAGACAGCATCATAAACTATGTCAGGGCTCGCAGTAATTACTCTTTCCCCCCTCCTTTCTCTGTAGCCAGTAAAATGGCTAACAGGGAATAAACCCTTTCCTTATCACCAACAACAGAGGCTCTGTGGACACTCACGCCGTCTCCTGGAGCACCGAATGCCAGATCCAAGCTGGATACTTCGGGAGCCTGACAGCAGGACAGGGAGAAATTGCTAATAAGGCTGCAGTTCTGGTGCACAAGCAGCAAGAGAAGTGGTGTTTGGGAGCTGGTATGAGTGTCATGTACAGGGCAAAAGCCAAGCACTGCCTCCAAATGAGTCCAGGGTGGTAGGCAGAAGGCAGAGGAGACAGTAAAATACAGTTTAAATGTTATTTCTGGATGGCTGCCTATCTTTTGGACAGCCAAGAGCCAGCCTCAAGAGAGACTGTTTGCACAGTTACTGAACTTAACCCACAAGAAAACCCTTCCCTGGGAGATTTTCAAACTAGAAGTGCTGGATATGCTTACAGAAACTTTCAGCAGAAAGCACAGACCAATTCTGCATTAATTTTCATCCTTCCCTTTGATCTGTTTCCCCTGCTTTTACTGACCACTCTGATGCCACTTGATCGCTTGTCCAGCAGAGAATTTCAGCACTTCAGGACTGCTTTACTCGTTTCCATTTGACTCTGCAAGTCATTCATACCAGGCCCTTCCTCCAGTAATATGAGAACAATAACTAAAACAGGGAGGTATTGTTTGGGCTGTGATTCTTCTGTAGGAAATGGAAATTGATACATATGGAAAGGTGCAGGAGGAACCCAGAAATCACACACATGCACACAAAAACCACATTAAAAATCCCCCTTAAGACCAAGAAACTACTCAACACATTTCAGAATACAGAAGGAACCCATGGGTAACAGTGCTTGCATTGTGAAGGGATGTTTCACAGGAACCTGTAGTCTTTCCAAAACCTGCACTATTTTTGGAGGGAAATCACAACTCAACTAAGAATACAAAAGAAAAGTTAGACCTGCAAGTCGGTCATTTCATGCATCGTCACAGGAAAATAAGCTGGAATAAGCAGTACATGAACCACCTTTTTGTGAACCTTCTAGGAAAATCCAGCTTTGTGGTACATGGCTGGCTGGGACACAGCCCAGCCCAGCTGTGTAAGGGATTAAGCAAAGGGGAACAGGACTTCTACAAATCCACGCTGTGATTATCTTCACACAGAATTTATAGACTGGGCTTTCAAGGGGGCTCAGCTACTCAGCAGCTGCCTTTGGGGCACCAATCTGAATGGAGTTGCTGGTCACAAAATATTCTCAAAAATCCATTTAGGTATTTAAATAGTGACCAGGTTGTTCTGAAAAATCCGGTTACAGCTGATAGTTGAGTTCACTTACAAACTTCTGGCTGTTGATCTCCAGTGCAAAAAAGGACTAATAACAAATAATACTCTCTAATCAAGGATGGATCTCCATCTTTCTAGCAACAATCCTAAAAACCAGTTGTACCTTTAGTTGCACCATTACACATCACAGTGAAACGTGCAGCAAAAACACCCCGAACAGGTAACGACTCATTGAAATGGCAGTGCCTTAAATGCCACAGATACTTCTAGTTCAATTATACTTCAAAGCCATATCTGGGAAGTAGTGATGGGTCTTCCATACCTTTCATGAGAATTTACTCTACAGAAGGTCCACTAGAAACAAAAAGTTTCTTGGACTGTGTTTCTACACACTTGTTTAGGTTCCCACTCACATTCGTTCAGCACACAATTCAGTACTGCTCTGGTCCTGGAAGGGCCTGTCACCATGCAGTTGTCTCTTGTCACTTTTCCTTCCAAGAACACTTATTTACCTC